CCCCGGAGGGGAGAGCCCCACGGGGCCCGGTGCCCCCTCCTCAGCCCCTGACCGACCGACCGACCGACCGACCGACCTCCCACGGCCGGCCCCCCCCACGCACCTGAGCGCTTCCCGAGGCCGCGCGGGACCGCGGCCGCCCGCTCCACGCGAGCCAGCCCTGAGCGCAGGCGGCGGCCGCCGGAGGCCGTAGCAGGGCGAGGGCCAGCAGCCGCCGCTTGCGGGAGGCGGCCGCCGCCAGGCTCCGCGGAGCCCCCAGCGGCGCCATCTTGGCAGGGCCGGCGAGCAGAGGATTGTGGGAGGGCGGCGGGGCGGGGTCCCGGTGCCGGCCGGAGGGGAAGGCGGGGCGCGTCGCCATGGCGGCGTTCTCCACAGGCGGCCGAGCCCCGGTGCGGCTGTCAGGCGAGAAGAAAGGCCCGAGCTGGCACACGTTCCCCCCGGGCAGGTCTCCGAGAGACCGCAGGGCAGCCGTCCCGGCGGCGGAGGGGACCGGCCGAGGCCCGCGGAGGTGTGAGGGGAAGGGGTGACTGAACATGGCGAGGCAGCTCCTCACACAGAGGGGCCCGCGGCCTCGGAGGGCTCCTTCGGCTGACACAGCTCGGGCACGGCTCCCTTGAGACCAGAGTAACGCAGCCATAGCACGTTTCCTACTTAAACACCAATTTAGGACGATAGAGATACGTCACAGACTACATTTTAAATGGCCTATTTACTCTCATCTGCTCGGCGTGCGGGGCCGTGAGGAAGCTGTAACTCCGTGTGGCGTTTTTAATCACATAAAGATTTGTTCAACGCTCCCAGAGCTTGACTCCTGATGATCTTGCCTTAAGGGGGGGCTGTAAGCTCGTTTTCAGACAGACAGACAGGAGGAGGAGGAGGAGGAGGAAGACGACAGCGGGCTCACAGCTGTAAGGAGGCAGGCCTTCTCCAGCCCGCGGTTGATAGCAGCTTTGCTCCTGCCCGGGATTCACTTTAAACGACAAGAGGTGACGTTTCTCTGTCATTAGTCTTAATTCTTCGTTATAATTGCATTTGGCAGTGCTCGGCCTGGACAGTGCCGCCCAGTGGCATCGTTCAGAGAGAGAAACAGAAATTCCGGGCTTATGGTTCCCCTACATCCAACTTCCTTCAGTATGTCCCTTTCAGCACAGCAGTTTGACCTGGCAAAATGGGGTAAGTGGGACTCTTTGTCCAGTGCTTCCACCATATCCACCTCTTTGGACATGCCGTGACACAGAATACGCTGCATGTGGATAAAAGAGCCCCAAATTGTGGTACCGCAGTCTTTAACACAGCTCTAATGCCTCTCTGATGGAGATAGACAAAATCACTCAACACACGTGCTGTTAAACCTCACAATACCATTCTGAGGACAGCTGTATTACTACAGTCTTGTCTTCATTAAATAGGGAGAGAAGAGCAGGTTCCATACGCCTGGACCCTGCATCAGTGACAGAAGCGGTTACAAACTTCCACTAAGCCCCTAAAAATTGAAGATGGAAAACATGCATTTCATCATTCAGTCCATACTCTCTTTAGTACAGACTAGTGCTAATTTTTTGTCTAATACGGCTTGAAAGTTCTGAAGGAACAGCATAAGAAATCAATATATTCCTCTCATGAAATGCAAAGAGGAATTAGTTTAGTGTTCTGATGGAATACTGAAAATGTTCTGTCATTCATCTAACACCAAAAAAACACAGCAGCAGACTGGTAGAGAGAAGGCAATTAATTTTGAGAAAGGGATTAAAAGTGCTAAATGCTAGCAGCTTGGTTTACAAGTAACTAAGGGGTGACTATACCCCATGCTGTAAACATTTCAGAAGGGTGAGAAGTTATTAATGATGATGGAAGGAAGGAGTGCTGGAAGTGCTGGGATCAAATTAAATGCAGGAAAGCTAAAGATAAATATCTAGCAAATGTTAGTCATAATGGAAATGTGATAGTTGGTATCCCCATGCTTAGGATATTTAGAATTAAAATGGTTAAGACAAGAGAATATTACCTGCACTGAAAAATCTGGCATTACATTCTATGTATATATTCTCAATATCAAATGGCTATGTGGTATTTGATGGGAAATTTTATAATTAATAATTTTAATATTCCCCTCTCATGGAATAATTTTAATATTCCATTCCATGGGATGGAACTGAAATCACCTTTAGAATTTCCATTTTCTGCGCTAATGCCTATCATTTTTTTTTCTACTCTTTTAAGGCTAATAAGGTACTTAATAAATTTGATATTAATACTTTCCCTGCAAATTTTGCCTCTACATGCTGTTCTTTCGTTAATAACCCTCCAATGCTGCTGGTTTTATTTCCTCCCCCTACTATTTCAGTCTTTTTTTCCAGTTCTGATCTTCTCTTTTTTTGATCCACTTTATTTACATGACACCAGATGATTTATACCTGTACAAGGCACTGCACAAACTCCAAGAGCAACATGGGCAGAAAAAGAAGCCACATACCTGGAGGGGTCAGAAACACAACCACCCCTTCTCTCAAAGTGACCCGACCAGGAGACCAAAGCTCACACTATAGACACAGAAAGCAAACAGATGAGTTTTATAAACTTACACTGCGTAAAGTAGCTTGCCATAAAAAATAAAATAAAATGTTTCTCTGCAGATTTAGTGTAGAAGCAGGGGATCTCCTTGGAGACAGACAGAAATCAGTGCACGCTCCGGAGCTGTCAGGGAGAAAAGTTTCTAGAAGCAGCTCAGCAAAAGAAATATAAGCCCCGGCACAGGGAGGTGAAATAACACCTTATTTAGAGTTTATTAAAGGTTTTGAGTTCTTTCTCATTAAAGGTGTTTAATATGATTATTACATTGTAATGAACTTCACTTATAGTGACAAGTACTTATTTCTTCCAGCTGTAAAAAAAGCAGAGTACAATTTCCTAAAGACTATTTATAGAACTGAGATTTATAATTATTAAACATTCCTGTAAAGTGGAAAGAATCAACACTGAATGCCAGACAATCAGTACGCCAAGGGGAGACTGAAACCTGTATTTCCTGTGGTGATGCTGACAATTCCCTTATGGCAGGCATCGGGCTAAATGAAAGTGCCCCCAGAGCTGTGGAAATCAAAATGAATTCAGGAGTCAGGCTAGAGATAAAGAAAAGTGACAATATTCCATCATCATTTAGAATGGACAGTATTGGAAAGGTGTGAACACAAGGAAGGGAATGTTTCACCAAAGTATATGAAGAAAGAGGAAAAATTAACGGGAAGAAATGAACGCAAAGAAATTAAAAATGTGAAAACAGGACAAGGTTGGGGGGGATAGAACCCCCCCACTCAGAGACACAGAATTAGTTTTGGCAAGTAGAATATGTGCTGAAAGGCACAGGACTGGTTTTGAGATAGGGACTCTTGTACTGAGTTTCTACCGAGTGTTTCTGGAACAACACCCATCAGGGCAAAGAGAAGGTCTGGGTGAAATAGCAGCCCTGTTTCTCCAGCTCCTCTTAGCACACTGCAAAGGGGATGCAAAGAGACAGGAGCGCTGAGGGAGTCTTTCTGCAACCAGTGGACATACTGGGAAGTCTATTTTTACTCTCCTGGTGCAGACGGGCAAAAAAGGTCAGAGTCCAAGCACTTTTCATTCATTGTGGAATGAAAACAGGGATGGTAAAGAGAACTCAAAAATCCTTCAGTCTATTAGATCTGGACAATGGATTGGGTTTCCTAAAGAGACAGAAAGTGACCTAGAGCTGTCCGTAAAACCCGAGTCATTTACCATTCCGAGAGTACATTGAATCCCCAAGGAACATGATTTAAATCAGAGATGGTGTTAACCTTTAGAGCTGCCTTTCCAGGTGTTCCAGGAGCCGACAGCATTTTTCATGTTGAGAATAAAAGGATTGATAGTTATTAAGTTCTGTATTTATAGTGTAAAAGATCTCTAAGCATTTACCAAGTTGCAAGCCAAATCCCATGGACCTTCCTTAAGGCCTCGCTGGAGTGTCCCAAGTAAGGACCTTCTGTTTTGGTTTTCAGTCCTCATGAAAGATGTTCCAGCGCAGGTGGAAAGGGGTGTGTTTGTAACAGCAGTGGGTTTTTTCTTGACCTCCTTAGCCCGATTGTCATGGTATGTACGTGACCATCCAGTGTCCCACCACAGCCCAACATCTGCTGGGAGCCCTTTGCCAGCTGGAGCAGGTCTCGGTCGTGGTTAAGTTTGCTTCATTTCTCAGACTTTCTTGTGATAGTAAGGGATAGAAAAATCATTTTTGATTTAAACGTGCTGAGATGGCGGTGAGGACGGTGGCAACGCGCATAGCAGATGGCTCTTAATTTGATGAATATGGCTTGTGCTACCTTTTCAGGGTTGTTGCCAGCATCTTAGCTTGCCGAGGTCGCAGGGGCTTCATTTCCAAGGAAATAAAGGCAGAGTCCATTTACTAAAACCACAATGGAACATAAAATAACAACAGACTGACAGAGAGCTGAGTGGATTTCATCAAAGAGGTAAGGATCTATTTAAAAGGAAATGCTTTTTACAGAAAATGAAATACTTCTATGATCTTGATCAACTATTTCACCTCAATTTTCATTGTAACATACTGCACCTGTGCAGCACAAACGTACGCTGTCTTCACTCCTGTATCATGTCAGTGTATTTCCTATGTGTGACAATATATACAAAATAATGCAGAGCCCTCAACGCCTCCATCTGCTCACAAAATTTTCAAACCAAAGAATTTTTTCAGCCACTGTGCTCAAGCTTTGCAGGAGCAAAATTAGAAAGTGAATGTCCAAAACTTGGGTTTCAACTATTTGGCCTAATCCAAAGGCCAGCAAAGACAATTTTTCGACTTTTTTGCAGGAGTAAATCGATGGTATGTGAGTACAATTACTCATACAGCCAGAATACATTATAAACCCACAGCTGACTAGCATTTTAGAGAAAAATTAATTTTAAATTCTGTATTAGAAAAGTGACCTTTACTTCCTCTGCTAACAAGCACCACGGACAAAGTATGGTTTAAGCCTTCAGATATTTATTTGTACAAGTCTGTAGTGTGTAAATGTTTCCATTTCCCAGTCTAATCCTCAGAGTGAAATATTCCTATCTATCTGAATTGTATTCATCTCTTCAGCAAAGTAGATCAGTCATGATGTAAACTGCATCCTGCAGCTCTTTTTGACGCAGGCTGGGTTTGAGATCTGTAAGTCGGGAGTACTAAATTCCGAGCTGTTCCTAGTGACAGGGTTGTGCAAACTAAACAAAGCCAAAGAGTGCAAGAGAGCTTCTCTGGCTTTCGACGTTTCTATGTTCTGCTCCTGGGATATCTGAAAGCTTACATGATTGAGGTTACTCCTTATCAAACTGCAAGTGAGGAGGTTTGTTACAGAACCACATCTGGTCAGGTTTTCTTCCAAAAACTGTTTATAGAGCTCTGTCACTTTTGTTTCCATGTACTTGTTGAGCGTGGAATTTGAAAGAGGCTCCTCGCAGAGCATGATACTCCTTTCTCCAGCTTCATCTCCAGACGGGGACTTTATACTTGAGTTTTTGGGGTGCTCACATAGAGGGGAGTGACCCAGAGGAATGTCTACGGACAGTAAAACAGGGCCATCAGGAAGTTCATCGCACACGTGGTCCAAAACACAACCCGAATCACACAGGTGGTCCACCACGTGGTCTCCCCCAATATGTAAGTCAGGATAGTTTTGATAAATGCTGTTGCATGACCAGGATCTATATAAATCCAGCTGCTCAGTATTTTGTTGTCTCCTGGGGATATGTAAAGCCGCTGATACAGTTCCTTTAACACATGTTTTCTGATCTTTTGCAGGTACCTCTTCTACAGTTCTCCATCGAGGACCGCTCCTGTGTTCCTTTTTGCTACTTTTAGCAAAGATCTCATCCTGCTTCACGTGTCCATCAGCAAAGCCTCGAATTTCGGGGTTGTCTACAAGTTTCTGTCTCCAGATTCCCTCTTTATCCTTTTTGGATGCATGAGATTTGTGAGGCTTATCTTGATGACAGCTTGCTTTATATATGAGACTAGTTAAGATGCCTTCTGCCAACATGACGACAAGCCTGAGTAGGAATCTAATCACCAGAGTTCCATGTAGTCCTGTGAGTGAAAGACAGACAGGCAGAGGACCTCAAGCTTATTTGCACAAAGAGAAATAATAATAATAATGAAAAAAGAACAATGCACTTTTCATAAAGACTGTGATTTTTCTTGTTCTCTAGAATATTTATTTTTTAGTAAGCAGTAAGCTGCATGCTTTTCTACAATTTTAAGCTCTCTAGCATGTCAACAAAAATCATTCTGAAGATACAGGAAGGGCATTAACTGGGTTCTTCACCTGTAATACCACTTCTGTTCCTAGGTATCTCTTCTGCATTCTGGCTAGTTAAGATAGATCATACTTAGGAGCTGAAGAAATCAGCAAAGATACAATTTTACTTGTCTATATCCCTAAAAATCAGCTTTTTCCCTTGAAAGGAAATTCCTAAAAGCTGAAGAGGTGACACGGAAGAAATCAAGATCAAATCCAGACACAGAGGTTGATACTGAATTGGCCTCAGCCCTCCTGCAAAGTGCCAAGGAGCTTCAAAAGATGCTGATAATTCTTCAGGGCTGCATCAAAAATGCAGTTGACATATGCAAATGTTTTTAGAGTCTCTCTTAATGGTGATTTTTAAAGATATAAATAGTTAACTTGTGATGAGTAGTACGTTTGTGTACCTATAGGCTCCATGGTTTTGCTAAACGCACATCAATAATTAAAAGCAAGCCAATATGTCTCCAAATGATCTGCTACCTTTAATGATTCTTTATCATTCCTTTTCAATTCACCTGCTGTTAAAAATCGATGGGAATCTTTCCATTTAGAGCCAAGTCTGACCTCAACCCACTGAGGAAGAGATCGTCACCGCTCCTCTTACGGAGGAAAGGGAAAGACGAACGCAAGAAAATCTCTCAGTTCTTCAAATGTCTTTTTAATCTCTGCATAATTCGACCTTCAAACCACCTTCATGGTTTGAAACAGAGGGGCGAGGCAAGGGCTGAGGCAGTTACACTGCAGAGCACCCAATACATCTCCCAAAGAACACGACATGCTGGCACAGGGCTTGAAATACACTAAAACCTCGACTTAGATCGTGGGCAATTAAGGCTTAATACTTTTCACAGCGCTGGCAATTTCCATTAGTGACTCTCCTGGCAGGACTAGACTGGGGAGCTCTCCACACAAACGAAACCTCTGCAAATTTAATATGATATTTGATATAGAACCGGAAAGATCCTCCTCTCCTCTACTCATTTGCTTCTAACTATCAGCAACCAAACCATATCCTCTGGCTTATTCCTTCTGCAATGAAACTTAATACACTGGGTCACTTTTTAATCCCAGGACTCCTGCCAGAAAGCTATCCTAAAACTCCAGTTACTCGAGAGATGGAAATTTTTGACTTCCCTCCTAAATTTACACATAGCCACGGTACAACCATTTGCTATTTTTCTGTTTCAGGGTTCTTTTTTTTTTTTTTTTTAGCTTAAAATCCCTCCCTGGAGCTGAAGGTGACACCGGAATTGTGATGTGCCTACAAGTGAGAGCAAAGCAGACAAGAAAGGCAGCACACCACACCTTCTCCTGGTTATATTAGCATAACTGGTTTACTTTATCTACAGAATCATTTACATGGGCAAAAAAAAAAGCAGGACAAGAATTCCTTAAGCACTTAAGGGACTTAGGAAACCAAGTGTCATTTTTAAAAGAGATGCAAGTACTTGGCAGTCTAAGTCCTGCTGAACCTCAATGGAATTTGGAATTCTGAGTGCTGTTTTTTTTTTGCAGAACAGGACACAGATCCCCAGGCCCTTATATACTAAAAAACTGTACTGTGTTTTGAAAATGCTCATAGTGTTAATGTAAGGGTTAAAATACAGTCATCTTAGTAAAATCGCCCTCTTTCAAATGAAGTAAATGGCGTCTACATTCTGGAACAAAGCATAAGGGGGGGAAAAAAAGGCACAAAAAGCCCAAACTTACCAATCCCAGCAGGGCGAGAGGCAGATAATCACATAGCCCAGGATGCTCTTACTACAGCTGCTCTGAGAGAACGGATTCTTACAGGCTATTTCTTCACCGCTGTCTGTGTGGAAAAACAACCTAACACACGCGTGATTTAGTTCCTTGTTCTTTCTTTTTAAAACGGAAGTGATTCCACTGGAAAAGTGTGTGGGTTTTGAATACAAAGTGACAGCAGATCTAAAAGAGGATGTTAAAAAAAGCCCGCTATTAACAGAGAAGTTTCTGAGTGTGGTGCAACGCCGAGGAGTTGCTGACTTGCCGCAGCACATCATTTCAAACCGCCAAAGATCAGGGTGCCGGTACCTCATCCCCGTGTTCAAAATGGAAACTGAATTCCACCAAACACTTCCAGCTACAGACCTTCAGTTTTGTTCTGCCACCCACCTGACTTACAGAGGCCATGGTAGTTACACCATTTCCCCTTTTGAAAGAGCTAAATTCATTGTCTTGTGACCTTTTTTTCTGATAGGGAAGAAGTCGACACCTTTATTTCATCAAGATTTTGATGAAATACCATTTAGCTCTAAAACCAAGTTTGAGAATCTCCTCTCGGAGAGCAGTAGCCATCAGAAAGCTGTGGACAGTCTTGCTGCTCACTGACCAAAGCCACTTTCTCCAGGCTCAGAAATTACCTCCATCTCGACGGCGCGTACGAGGTGTCCCCACGGTGGTTTTCCTGGGTCCTTCTCACAGAGGCTGAGCCTCAACACTCCTCCAGCTCCTCCAGGCTGTAAACAGTTCAGAAGAGTTTTCTGTCAATTCCTTTTCTAAATTTTCTTTTCTCAGAAGATAAAAAAAATAAATCAGCACCTGAATCTCATCCACATACTGGATAAAAGCTCTTAAATAGACACTGCTTCATGTAATGATAGGAGCAAGACACAAATGTAAAATAAAACTAGATTGTGAAGATAACATTGCAGTAACATATTGATTGCAACCCATCATTTGACATGTTTTGGTAGCAAAATAATGACGTGGCTTATACATGAATTAATGTCAGGTTTGAAGTAACTATGACCATATAAGTCCAATGGAGTCTCTCTACAGTTATTCCTCTTCTTATCACTTTGACTTCATAAAATACTCTAGTTTTTACAGAGGCAGAATGAAAGCTATTTTTATTCCCTCTGAATGGATATAAAACTCATCTCACATTTAAAGGCTGTTTAAAATGACTTTATTTTTAACCACCCTACATGACTGATTTCCACCAGGGTAGATGCGGTTGGGACTTCAGGAGAGTACTCCTGCCCCGGTCTTGGGGGGGACCAAACCTCACAGGAAACAGGGTGATTCAAATTCCAGGGGGTTTAACCTGCCCCTCCTTGAACCAGCTCAGAATTAGCACCAGCTGCAGCCCTGGGCTTTGTGCACGAGTTTCAACAAAAGCCCAAGAAAAGTTACAAAAGTAACAAAAAGAGAGAGAGGGAGAAATCGAGTTAGGTAGTTAGTCTTGAGTGATTAAAAACAAACAGCATTTCAGCTGTACTCAGGTGTTAAATGTATCAATATCCAAGGAAATTAATATATTTCCATCAGTAAAACCTTAAAAAAAAAACCCAAAAAAACCAAAAAAAAACCCCACAAAAAACCAAAACCCCAAACAAACAACCCGACCCTTATATTTACAAAAATAAAATCAGAACAAGATAGAACCAAAACTATTTCAGAAGCTGAAAAGAGCCTGCAGTTAGAAAAAACAGGCAGCAAGACAAGTATGTCTGGATCCCGAAGCAAAACTTACAGCAGAATGTATAGAGAAAGAAAAATAAAACGGAGTACATCAGTCTTATATGGAAAAAATAAGTAACACAGCACTATGTATTATTCTATGAACTGTAGTAGCACGTAAACCTTATTTCTGCCCAGACTTTATGTATTTTATGTGCACACAAACGTGAAATACAAGTTGATTACGTTAACTTGGCGGGGTTTTTTTTCGGGCGCAGCCGTTGCCATTCTTCTGCTTTCCATTTTAAGGCAGCAGCAACTCATTCCAACACCCCCGGCTTCCCGGAGTTGGCAAATACCTTCTTGCACAACGCTCTCCCCGGTTACCCGGCCGCGCTGTGCCAGCTCTTCGGTGCCGCCTCCCTCACGCCCTTCAGCCCCAAACCCGCGTCTCTCCGCCGCCACCTCCCGGCTCCGCAACCACCCGCACCGGCCTCAGCGCGCTCCCCGCGGCGCCGTTCCGCAGCTGAGGGGCGCTGGCGGACCGGGGAACGCCACAAGGATTTTTTTTTTTGAAACGTAAAGAAGCCAAATTTGACCGCGCAGCGGCGGCCGGGAGCCGCGGGGAGGCCGCGAGCGGAGAGGCCTGGTGAGAGGAGAGCTCGGCCCGGACACACAGCGGCGCTGAGGGGAGAGAGGCCGAGCCTGGGCCGTTCCCGGGAGGAGGCTGCGGAGACGAGCGGGAGGGCTGCGGTTCGTGGCGGTGGAGCCGTTTGGTGGCGCGGAGGCCTCCACCCGGAGGTGCGCGGGGCCGGGACCCCGCCTCAGGCCGGCCATGGCCGCCTCGACCCCGCGACGCCGCCCGCCTCAGGCCGCCTCAGGCCGCCGAGACCCTACAGCGGAAGGGGCGGGTTTCCCCTCCTGAGTGACAAGAGGGACGGCCAATCAGAGGGCGGGGCTCGCTGTGTGGCGGGCGGTTGCCACGGCAACGGCAGGAGACGGCGGCAGGTGAGGGGGCGCTGGGCGCCATTAGGGTCTGTAACGGCAGGGGAGCGGGGCCTGGGCGAGCTCCTCGGCTGTTCCCCGCTCTCCCGGTGAGGAGGAGGCTGCAGGCGCTCGGGGTTGTCGGTCAGCGAGGGGCGGAGAAGGCGGGGGGCCCCCGCTGGGTGCGGCGGAGGGAGGGCAGGGCCGCCCGGCTGGGCCTCGGCTGCCGGGCCCATCCCGCCCCGGTGCGTGCGGGTTCTCCCTCCGAGGGCTCGGCGTTAGCGCTTCACCAAGGGGAATTGGACTTTCACGGCACCGCCCCGGTTACGGGCCGTGTGTCTGAGCACGCTCCGGTGGCATAAAGCGAGCGGAACCGGCCCCCCGTGCTGGGACAGGGCTCAAGCAGGAACCGGAGCCAGGTGGGAATCACGCTGCCCTGGGCAGGTTACCAATGATGGTGTTTTGTTTCCTTTTTTTCAAGGATTTTGAGATGTTACACCAAGCAACTGCAAATGAAGATGTCTCCAAGTTCCCAGAGATGCCTTCAATAGACAAACCTGGGAGAGGAAGGAATTACTGTAGAAAGGACCCATTTTGACACTTGATAGTTGATGAACGCGACACACCACAGATAGATATACATATATATTGCATGTTCGGAACACTCAGGGTACACTGCTCACCCCCTGGCAGTAGAGAGGGATTCCTCCTTGATTATCTTCCAGAATCCTTTCTGCATTTCCCAGAGTTTCTCGAAAAGTCCACCAATACAGTTCAAAATCGTTAATAGTAAAACTTTGCAATCTAAAATATTCTACCAAGGTGACACAACATGGACAAATCGCAGAATACAGCTGTGGGAAACTCAATAATTAAGATCATTACTCAGTAATTGTTTATTTAGTAGAGTGAGATTATTTTGCGTAGGGAGTGCTGCCGGACCCATTCCGGTGGGCTTCACACATCAGGGTTTTTCTAATCCATTTTTTGTAATCCATTTCCATAACAAGCACAGATCTCTGGGGAAAAGGGGGGGAAAAGGAATGTGGAAGAAATGTAGTTCCAGAACTGGGCTTGGAAATGGGTGACGTGGGTATAAGCAACGAGTAAGTGTTCATTTTCCCTTTACACCTTGAATCTGCTCTGTATCGGAGGGGAAATGTGAACACAAAACCCTTCTCTCCAGGCAGTATCACACACGCTTTCCCACGTTGTATTTACATCACAAAAAAAACCCAAACCAAACCTGAAAAAGCAAAACTGGCAAAAGAGGAAAGAACTACGTCAGGAAAACACAAAGCCAGGAAACTTTAATGGCTTGTTCCCAGGTAATGAGTTGTCTCGGTTTCTTTTTAAATTGGCTATTAAAATTCTCTTACCATAACGGGGAAAACACCGGAGAGATGAGGTCTCGTAAAACTCTTTAACACAGGTTACTGATCAGTCTGAATCTAGTACATTAATGGACTTAAATTAGTCCTTTGAAAAAATTTTAATTACCTTGTTCTTGGTACGTCTCATTTCTTGCATTTCTCAATTTGCAGGCCTGAGTGCAAGGGACAGGCTAATGCCTTTTTCTCATGTCAAAAAAAAAAAGAAAAAGAAAAAAATAGAAAACTGAGAGGCAGAAAAGAGATATATATTTTTTTTTTCTATATATAAACACACAGAGAGTCTCTTACCAGTAACTGAGCTGCTCAGGAGCCACTCCTTTACTCACCCCCTCCTGCTGACTCCACTGTGCACACCTCACATTTATAGTGTGAGCCATTTCTGGTATTTGAAATACTTGCAATATGAGCTGAACGATATAATCAGACTTTTCCATGACATATGGATTAAGAATATTAAATAAGAAATTAATAAAATCCCACATGGATTGGTAGAAAAATTTATTATTACAGTGCACACCATTGTAACCTCTAACAGCAAGGTAAGGAAACGTTATAAGCACACATGCAGTTTGGTTTTTAGACAGATTTTTTAAAACAAATTGTCTCGCGCTTTACATTAACAAATAACAATTTGGGGTTTTAAGACTTTTTATAAACAGACAAGAAAACCAAATATTTTTCTGGGTGACACAAGTGAAATGTACATACAGGGAAAGCCAATGGGATTCACTGTCATGTAGAAATGGCACCAGCAGCCCTTTTCTCTGATGTTATGGACCATTTTTTAAGACTCTAAAAAGAAGGGCAAGGAAGTGAGAGTTAAGGAATTACCACCATTAAAAGCCATCGATGTAACTGACTGTTCTCAGTTGTGCTTTGGTTGCTTGAGAATCGGCACAGGAGCAGCCTTCTCCAAACCCACTCGTGACAGAATTTGGTAACTGGTTTCCTTTACAGCCCAGGAACTGAAGTCTGGGATTTGGGCAACTCCTGGTGCAGTTTCGGGGCAGAGAATGCATCTTCTGCAGCTCGACAGAAGATCTTTGAGACAGCACAACATTTCGGCACGTAAAGCTTAAAAGAATAATGCCGGGCAAACAGAGAAGGCAAAAGTGAATAGTTTTTAGTTTAAAAATTTATCCTACACCGCCCTCTGGCAACACAAATATTAAATTACATAGTTCCCCTGCTGTGAGCAGCATAAAGCTAATTAATTACACATTGTGAAAAAGGCAAAGGAGAGGGTTTGGCAGGCGCTGCAGGCGGGGAGGGGGGGGGGAAGCTGATACGGCCCCGTCCGCTCGCGATTCGTAGCTGCCGTGGGGAAAGAGGGGGAAAGCAGGTTAATTAGGAAGTCTATTCCGTGCCCTCCTAAGGCCCCCCAAACCTCTGTTTTGTGTAGGTGTATCCTAAGTAATTAAAACCCATTAATTGCAAGAGGTGAGAGATCCGACCCAACAGACTTAACGGGCAGCTGCAGTTCACTTTGTTGTGCAGGTCCCGTATTTTTAAAAATAAAGTGGTATTTTCACTGGGAAACCACTTCTTTCAGCTTATGGGGTCATTTCAAACGGTGGATAAAAAAAAAAACAGGCAAAGAAGTCAGTGGTGTGAGAAAGCCTCCTAAAACCACTTTATTGGAATGATACAGGAATGGTTAATGCACAGGTTAAATCCTCGATGCCTGCCTTCGACACAGGAAAAAAATAATAATACAGGAATGAACAAATTCAGTTCTTGTGCCCATCATTAACACAGGAATGGGAAACAGAAAACCAGCACGTAGGCAAGACATTCCTCACGCTCCTAAATCCATGCAAGGTATCTGCACCAAAATGAATGCACGTTTTTTCACGCAGTCGCACAAGAAAGAGATATTTTGGGTACGTTTCAGTTTGTGTCGGTGCCTTGTTCCCCGGACAAAGAAATAATTCAGTGTATTTCAACAGAGCTGCCTCAGGAATGCTGATACAGTCTGACCGCTCCCATATGGCAAGGGACAAGACGAGGGAAGGGACTTTGCTTTCTTAAACTTGGCCAGTTTTTCTTGACCGTCAGAAACAGAGACTGACCTCATTCCAGAAGGTTTTGGGTCGCTGAACTGACAGAATTTGGCAGCGACTTTCAATTACAGCTTCTTTAAAATAATGACTGTAATTCACAACGCTTACACCATGCTTTCCTTACACAGGAAACGCAGCAAATTGGCATGAGCGTAGTGACTTGTGTGTCAAATTCCACTTCCTTCACAAGACTGCACTTAATATTCTCAGGTATTTTCTCAAAAACTTGAGCACTGGACACAGAGGAAGGTTATGCCAATATTAAGAAAGAAAAATCACCTGGGTTCAGCAAGAGGAAATAATAGTGAGCAACAAAAATCAGATGCTGCATTTAAAACATAACCTAACTTCCATCCCCAAAAGAACTTAAAAGTACATGTCACCAAATTTCAGTAATTACTGACACAGCTCGTTAATGAAAAAGCACAATTAGCATGTGTTAATGTGGAAGGTAAGGCAACATTAATCTATCCCTACGCTTTTCAATACCGCGCCTGCTTTTGTAAGGACAAGCTTCAAACTGACTCCCAGGCTCCCAAATCAGAAAACACCAATTAAATGTCATTTTAAGTCACTCGTCTCCGTGCTGGATCCTGCTGGCTCAGCTGAGGAAGGTTCCTCACGAGCTGCTCTCCCACCCCAGCAGGTACCTGCATTTCTCTTTTAAACAGAAGCTGACAAAATCATGGGTTTTGCAGTGAACGGAACGAAAGCCCCCCAAGAAAAGCTGGTGAGGGAAGTATTTAATTACCGCACTTTAGAACGTCTTGGTAAACCTAAGTTTTTACTTTCATCCTCTTCCCGATTTCAGACTTCAAAACGATGAACTGTAATCTGTTTCAGAAAGAATTTTAAAAGCCCTGCACAGGTTTTACAGCATCAGAGTAAAATAACCGTGTGGCACTGATAAGCTGCAGCCTTTTGCTGATCCGCACCACCTGCTTCTCCGTCGTCATAAAGCGAAGAAAATCAAAATGTGTCTGTGCAGAGCTATTAGAATTATCCTCTAATTATCCTTCTTACCGTCTTTTGATGCTTTTGGGCAATAAGTACACTATGTGGTACAAAATACATTTTTTAAAATCACCCCCACGCTTCTTAAACCTGTTTTTTATCCTTCAGAGCCCTTGTAATTATTTGTATTTCTTGCAGAACATGGCCAAGAAATAGAGACCATCTCACGAGCGCTGGGAGAACAGACAGGTTAATATTGCACATGGTAAATTCACCAATATGAGACACTTTTAACACATTTGCAATTCCTGTAATAGCTTCAGGATATGGCAGTAACAATGGAAAAAAAAAGTTTTTAAACCTTAAAAAAAAAAAGTCTTGCTTAATTACAATAAGTCTTGCTATTCAAACATTTATTTCCTCATTTGAAAAAATACTATATGAATCTAATGGCTACTTGAACATGCAGTAAGAAGCCTAATGCTCTAAGCAGTGTGAACTGGTATTTTTGTAGAGAAATACATTAAAGGCTTTTCACCCTTACACAGGTAAGGAAATGCCATTTCTGGCCGTTTTGGCTTATTTGCAACATTGCCTGGGAATGAGCACATCCTTCACTCGTGCAGGAAGAGGGACCCGAGTGGTGCTGAGGCAGCCGCGTGATGAACTTGCCAATGGAAGGGCTGTCCATGGCCCAAATCCCTTTTTTTTTTGTGTGTGTCAAAAGAGCCCACACGGATCACTTCAATGAGAAATACATGGCATTATTTTTTTTTTTCATCATCTGTACAGCGTGTTACAATACAAATCTTAAATATTCATTCTACAAAAGAACAAACACAACTTTCCAAACTGACTACAATGGCTATACTACACGATACCACCTACAATTTCATCTGAAACCAGAAAAGACACTGAAAAATTACTGTGTAATTCAGTAACATTTTTTTGAGGCAACTCAGGCACTAAAATTAGTATCTGACAAGGTTTTTAGCTGCTGTTTCCCATATTTTAAATAGTTGGATCTCTAGGTATAACCCCATCTGTATTATTAGTACTAAAATAGTTTCTTTAAGTTTACACAAAATGGACGAATTGCCAAGACAGTTTAAACTAAGTGAAAAAAATCATTCAGGTCTAATTGCTTCGGTTTCCTACGCTTCCAACTCGGTAATTATCCACTCTGTGCTCCCTACCTTTATCTTCACATTTTCATCTGTGTGGTCAAATTTGTATTATGCACGGTGAATGCTGCAAGCACCAATCAAATGTTAGAAATCACATCTACGTTTCTTGAAGCAGAGACAATTGGACTATTTTATAAAAAGCTGTGGAAATTCCCTTTACAGAACGTTTAAGGCAGTTGAAATTCACGCTTGCTGCTTTGCCAGTGCTTCAGCTTCCTGAAAAAGCAGAAGAGAATGACATGGATTAGTATTTTAGGAAAGGTGCTGACTTATGCACACCCGTGTAAGGCACCAACGTATGACCAAGAAAAGTCCCCGCTGCCTACGATGACATCCTAAAACCAGTCCCACACTGTGCTGGCTTTAACTCCCATCCTGAGCTAGCTCAAGTAGGAGCTGCAGGAATATTCCAACCTGTGCCCCTGGCCAGTTTTGACTATAAAAGTTTAAAACAAAAGAAGATCAGATATAATGAGATATCAGATATAATGAGTTATCCCTCATTTCATGTTAGGACAGAAGAAGATTTAGAGATCAAAGATTATTTGAAGAACTCTGGTTAAATGGAAAAGGAATTCTTAATCATAGAATCATAGAATGGTTTAGGTTGGAAAGGAACTTAATGATCATCCAGTTCCAACCCCCCTGCCCTGGGCAGGGACACCTCCCACCAGACCAGGTTGCTCCAAGCCCCCTCCAACCTGGCCTTGAACCCCTCCAGGGATGGGGCATCCACAGCTTCTCTGGGCAACCTGGGCCAGGCTCTCACCACCCTCACACCAAAGAAGTTCTTCCTGAGATCTCATCTAAATCTGCCCTATTTCAGTTTAAAATGGTTCCCCCTTGTCCTACAGCTCCCCTCCCTGATCCAGAGTCCCTCCCCATCTCTCCTGGAGCCCCTTTAGGGACTGGAAGGGGCTCTAAGGTCTCCCTGGAGCCTTCTCCTCTCCAGGCTGAACCCCCCCAACTCTCTCAGCCTGTCCTCATAGGACTTAATTAAAGTCTCCACATCAAAAAAATAAAATAAAACAGAGGTCACAGCAGAGACACAATTTACTTCCTGAACTAAACCCTACCAAAAACCAGCATTTAGCTTTTAAACGAAATGACCAAAACCCAGCGTTTAGCTTTTGCCTTCTAGAAGGGTGATGGGAGCCGCCTGCGAGTCCTTAGTCAGAGCTGGGAGCTGCTCCAGCATCAGACCCAGCCATAGCTCAGCTCCGTCCCGGGGGCTGGCAGCGGGTCAGGGCTGGCACCAGAGCTGCTGAGTAATCCCAGCTCCCTGCTGGGGGGGGGGACACCAGCCAGAGGGGACAGGCTCCTTGGGAACAGCTCCTGCCTACCACCATCTCCACCCCCGGGGCTGCCAACACACAGCTCTTCAAGGGGCCCGGACAGATCTGGTGCCCTTTGGCTACAGGAAAACATGCCTATGGAGGAACAGCTGAAGCAGTTCAGCAGCCACAGCAGCCAATTTCTAACAATTCGCAGTATGTTTCAGAAAGAACATTAAAAAACAAGAGCCTGCATTTTTCAGGTGGTCACGAGCGGTAATGGAATGACAGGACAAGAAATGCAAAAGGAATTTTTCTTGTGAAGATGGTTTCTACATATGTACTTTTTGTTGAAGGCTGATTTAATTACTTGTCTGCAGCAACGTGGCCTACAAACAGATCACAAAACACTCACAGTGCTCTCACTGCAGCACTTCAGGGTGGAACGACGTGGTTTATTTTGGAGGAAAAAGTTTGACATTCGCTAAACGCAACTTTTACGTAACGGAGTTGTTTGCTTTGGTGACTGTGTAGAAATACTGAAGATAACAGGCTCAAAAATATCACTGTTATCACAAGCCAGTGCAATAAACGAATAAAAAACAAGAGAAGGAAGGACTAAGAAGGGGATTTCCAAGAAGCCTGTAAGACTTGGAAGAGAAGGGACGCAGTGGGTGACCCCAGGGCAGGAAGTACCAGGCGTATCTCCGTTATCTTAGACGTGGTGGATCACCCTGGTTCTCCTGGCTCTCTGCCCAAGCACGTCACATCATGCTGCCTTTTAACTGGGGGTTGTGGGAACAGCTTTGCTGGGACACTGGCTGGGGTCTGCCACAGCACCGGGTCACAAAGCAGAGCCAGGACGTCACCGTGCACCCACGCAGCTCGTGCGAGGACATCATCCTATGGCTTCATGGCAGAAAAGGCAGGTGAAAAACGAAGGAAAGATTAAAAAGGGCTAAAAGCCTGGGGGGAAAAAAAAAAAAAAGGATGTTTGATATTCTCTAAAAGACAAGCGGCTCTTTGAATGGTAAGAAAGAGGAGATGGTTCCCTTGGCTTTGTCACAATTCCATTAACCAGTCGCGGGCGCTACAGAAGTGCCATCTAGTTGTTTTGTGGATTTTTTTTGCCAGAAAATGCAGGACAAAGTATTTATCTTCAAAAGAGGCAGTGGTAAGCTGGAGAGGTACGTCCCTCATCTCCAGGAGAGGGGGTACCAATAACTTGGAGAAGACGAGAACCTATTTGTCTTGAAGGTCAAGCTCCATTTCCTTGGGCGCAGTCCTGGGAAAGGCTCAGCTTTTCAGATTTGACAATCTCCCTCTTCTCACACTATTTCTTATTTCTCCCTCCAGCCCCCTCACTGAGCACGCTCTCAGTCCTTAGTTAACCACAGCCTTTAACCCTCTCCCTTTAGAAGCCCCCTGTATTGCCTGAAGTAGGGGTATGTAAGATAAATTGAATGCCCACCTTTCCCAGGGTTTGTAGGTCCAACCGCACTCTCAGCACCCAAAGCACAAACCAAACCACCAGGGCTCACTCAGGAGTTACTTCCATTTCCCCTGCTCACTTCTAAGCCCTTCTTTAACATTAATATTGGACTTTTGCATTCAGAGTCAGCAAACTTCCAAATCTCTCATGATGACATTCAATGGGGGTTTGCTCTCAAGGTCCTCTCTTGCGATCCCACACAGGTTGATTCCAGACTCCTTCCATTTTATGTAGCAGCATTCAAAGCTGCAATGTCATTAACTACTAGGATATTACATCCCAGCTGCATCCAGCTCTGCTCTAAATGCCAATTTCAGCATCTACGAATCAGTCTCTCCTCCTCAGCAGCGGGCAATCAGCTTGATTTGACATCATGTAATTATGGGACCGATACCAAAAGTCAGCCCAAGAGCAGAACGCGCTGGGTACAAGGTCACTTATGCAAAGGTTTTCTTCATCAACTCAAACTCCTCTCCGAGCTGGAGCTAGCAATAGGAAAATTCAGCAGAGTCAAACTGCATTATATTTTTTCCTTTTTAAAACTCCCCTTTTCCTTAGGTGAGGACAGAATCCGAGCATCCCTTAGAACAGGATCAGAGCAACTGAGAGGCTGCTTCTGCAATCTGGCAGGTGAAGTGAGCCGCGATGTTCATAAACGTTACAGGGACAGATGACCTGATTCATGATGGCAACAACTGCTTCTCCAGCACCACTGCCCTTCCCGGATCCTGGCCACGAGGGGAATCACACGGGCTTCCCTGCATCCTGCGCTCTTGGGGCTGCATTCTCACCCCTGGGCTCCATCCTGCACACTCTTTTGTGCAGCGCTGGGCAGATGCTCCAAGAAACTTCAATAAGACCTAGATGCCCTTCTGAGGCCCACAACTTGTGATGCTGGGTTATGTATCACAGGTTTTGGCCTCTGCAGCTCCATACGAGGCAGAGTTTTTCCTCGTTACACCCTTCACATTAGCGGAGCTACCGTTAGAAATGAGTTTGACTCCAAAAACTGCTTCAGCCTGCCCCACAACTTGTAATGCTCACTCCTGATGGATCATCATCCACCTTTAAAATGAGGTTCTGTTAGTGACATGCACAGCGTGACCTTCAACTCTTCCATGAAAAAAGCTGAAAGGAAGCGGCGTGTTTATCCGCTGGAACAAGAAAGCTGGAAGTGACCCCAAGGATCCTGCTGCTGTCAAGTGAAACGCGTAACACAGCCTTGTCCTATCCTATCACCATCAAAAGGAGAATTCCAGCCCATTGCACCCGCAAAGCAGCAACCCAGTTTGTAACTGGCAAAGGAAAACAAGGCTTCAGATAACGAGCTGAAGGAAAAAAAATCACTCTGAAGCAAGACCACATTATTTCAAAAACAGTGGCTCTGGTTTCAAGGTATTTCCTAGTACAAAAATCTCATCAAAACTTCACATGATTTAAGTGAATTGAACTGAAACAATTCTTTGGTTTTGTGACAATTTTTTTCATCTAGATTTTTTGTCCATTCTTCAGTGCAAATACTAACTGCTCTTTTGCTTGTTCCCAGTGTGTACAATAAAAAAAAATAATCCAGTGGTAAGTGAAAATTATTACTAGTGAAAAACTTGACCCAGCTCTTCTTTCCAAAGCAACAAAAGCTTTACCATGAAGTTAGAATCATAGAATCACAGAATTGCCCAGGCCGGAAGGGACCTCCAAAGGCCATCTAGTCCGACCCCCCCGCAGTCAGCAGGGACACCCCCAACTAGACCAGGTTGCCCAGGGCCTCGTCGAGCCTCTCCTTGAATATCTCCAGGGATGGGGCCTCAACCACCTCCCTGGGCAACCTGTTCCAGTGCTCCACTACCCTCACAGTAAAGAACCCCCTTCTAATCTCCAATCTAAATCTGTTCCCCTCCAGCTTGAAGCCATTTCCCCTCGTCCTGTCACTACAGGCCTTTCTAAACAGGTTCTCCCCAGCCTTCCTGTAGGCTCCCTTCAGGTACTGGAAGGCTGCTATTAGGTCTCCCCGGAGCTTCCTCTTCTCCAGGCTGAACAACCCCAGCTCCCTCAGCCTGTCCTCGGAGCAGAGGTGCTCCATCCCCCTGATCATCCTTCCGCAGTGATACCAAAAGAGCATCTGTACCAAACACTGAGTTCTTCTGGTAAAAGGAGGGGAAGGCAGATGCCCCCAAGGAAGCAGCATCCTCCAAATAAACCAGCACACGACACTGCCGTCTTACTGGGATGGTGAAGGCTGAAAGTTAGTCTCTGGAGCCTGAATATCGGCCCAGCAGGTTGACTGATTGGGGCAAGCACAGAACACATAAAATATCCCACTATGAGCAGAGAAGAAGGTGTAAAAATACAGGTTGTGGTTGTACTGTGAGAAATTCACAGCCCTACCTTTGAACCAGGTGGTGCAGTCAAGCCCAAAAAGGCGTATACGGCGTTGTTCTCTCGGGCTTCAAAGAAAGCTTCGTAGTCCTTCACGAGGAGACAAAAGAAGTAGGAATGGTCAGAAAGGATCACAGCTCAATTTGGTGCATTAGCCAACCCACACCCCACAAACTGCTTCCTGTGGCCGACTGCCAAATCCAGAGTGTCACATCTCAGGTATTTATCGTTAACATTAATACTGAATAAGCTGCACTGTCTGAAAAGTGAGAAGCTGGGAATTTCACTATCTGTAGCAAAAAGCTGCTGCTGTGAGGTGCTTCTGCCTCTCCCAGAGGGACACCTCCATCGCAAGGTAGTTGTTACAGGTCTGGCACGGATGTCCCTCCCTCAGGAGCAGGCTGAGCCCATGCCTTGTCATCAGAAACACTGATGTCCCCAGGTACCACTGCTAATTACAGGTTTCAACTGTGCAGCCACGGACATTAACTCTTAAACCTGCTAAAAGTTAAATTTAAACCTGTAAACTGAGAGTACATCCTTTCCCATCGTGTTTCCCATTAATGATTACTCTATGCAAATGAAGGCAATCAGGTAGGACCACGCATTGTACTCAGTGCACTGCACTTGCTCTAAAAACGCACCCAGCTGCCTCCCAAGAAAAGTAAGGTAAAAACAATGAAACAATAAAAGAAATAACCATTCTTCCTTCCCAGTTCTTTTTTATGTCTGAGGCAGCCTGCAGTGCTGTATGGAGTACAAACAACACGGCTTAGTCGTCTGCTAAGTTAGGAAAGAGCAAGCAAAAAGCTCACAGTGTGGCTCAGCACCAGCAGTTGCCAAACACTGCCCAAACGGCCCCAGAAGGTTTGTGCAAGTCCCCCGTTGTCCCAGTTACCACATCCTTCCCTCACTCTGATTTCCAAACTCAGCAACTATCTCTCTTATCATTTTCCTTCTCTCCCTGTTTAACTGAAGCAACAGCACCAGCTTTCTCCAGCTTTACCAGGGAATGTTTGGATGCAGGAGTCACAGCTGAGGGACCCAAGGCTTGGCAGCAGCTCGGAGCAGGCTCAGGCTCGGGCTGAAGTCAAGGAGAGCGCTGCCATGAAGGGCACGCTGCTTCTCGTGCTTGTCTGTCTGACAGCCAAAAACCTGAGAAATAGCAAATGCTTTTGGAAAACAGCAGCGTGTTCAGAGCAGGGGCAGCTCGAAGAAGAGGCTGTCGCAGCTGGAACAGAAGAAAGTTCAGGGAACAGAGGATTCAAACTGCCTAGAGATCAGGAATGGCAAATTATTGTTCGATTTGTACGTGCAGCATTCGGGTGCTGGCTTGATAAAAATGTGTATGATTATGTTAAATCCTCCCTGAAGCCCCTCTGTTGACAGTACTGGGGCTGCTTGATAACAAAGGGGTTATTTATCTTGCGAGTGCATAGTCCAGCACTTAGTCTGCTTTGTAGCATCTACGGGGAAAGGAATGCCTGTGCCTAAGGAGCAGGGTTCATGCCAGCTCACACGGCATCGGCAGTTCCAGCCCTTCTGCTGTGCACAGGCCAATAAAAGTCAATTTGCTCATTACTCTGCCAGTTTTGCTGCATCAGATGAAACAAACAGGGAAGTTCATGCTCGAGATGGATCAGATAAAGACATAAAGAGGCTCAAGCATGCGGGAAGAGAATTAACTTTTACCTTCCTGAAGGCTACAAAATGTAGTAACTGGAATCCAGCTACACAAATTGACTGAACTTCAAAGGTTCCGAGTGACATTAACCAAAATCTGGGGGATGAAATAAACCCCCAGCAAGATCTAGTCTGAAGCATCTATATCCCTCACCTCAAAATTACTGTATACAGAACTGTCATGGGTTGCAGTTGGGGATAGATTAGGTGCACGCAGCTTTTTCTCTCCCTGTCCCACAGCACTGCTGCACACCTGCAGCAATGCAGCAGAAATTTGGCACCGTGTCACCGATAAAGGACAACCGCACAGCGACCCGTTCTCATCCCTACAGCTCCTGCTACACACTGGGAGAATGGTGAGACTGTTGCAGCTGAACTTCCTACTGGTACAGAAATATTTTCCTCTTTTTTTTCGTTTGTTTGGTTTTAAAGAGAGGTAACTGAACTCAGATTGTCAACTCTTTGTGACTAGCCCCTTCTCAGCTTTCAGCTGCAGACAACATTGATCATTACATTTGTTACTCCAAACCAACTTTTTTCCACATTGCAACCAGTCAGTAAAAATTTTGAGAGCCAAGTGGTACACTAGCTCACTGTGGATACTGTTTCAAGTTCTGCTTTTATTACAAGCAATAAAAAAAAAATCCTGGCGCAGAGAGAATAATTTCTTTCAGTAGCCAGAAGATTGCCTCACAAAGGTCCAGAACTGGCAGGTTCTGAGTTACAGACTTTGCAGGTCAGAACCAGGCTGAAAAACAACTTAGAAACCAGCACATGGCACCAGAGGAATGCACGCTGTGAGCTCTTTTCAGAAGATATTAAGTTTTAAAAATAAAATTAAAAGTTAATCTAATAATCATTCAAGCATGGCCTGCTGAGTAGAAGTGCTGCAGGGTAACTTACTTTTGATCAAGCATTAAAATAATTACAAGTAGGGATTGTATTTGCAACATGAGTTTTAATCTGTTCAAGGCTCTGGAGTAAGTGGACCGCAACAGCCTTCATTTTGCAAGGCGTGCTCAAAAAACGATCCCAAGAAGGATCAGAAAACTGCTATATGGTCATGGCAGACATCACTGAACTGCTATATGGTCATGGCAGACATCGCTGCACACGAGCACGTCTTCTGGAAGATGAACAGATGATGGAGTGACCACAGAATCCCAGAATGATCTGGGGTTGGAAGGGACCTCTGGAGATCACCTAGTCCCACCTCCCTGCCAAAGCTGGTTGCACAGGAACATGATGTGGGATCCACACGTATCAGCAAAGCCCACGTCAACTGACCGTGGCACAGCTGGCCAAGTCCATTCTTGCTGATCACACCAGCAAAGCACAGACTGTGGCAGTGAGTACCGGGACTGGGAGGAGCAGGAGAGGCTGAGGGAACTGGGCATGTTTAGTTTGGAGAAGAGGAGGCTGAGGGGAGACCTCATTGCCCTCTACAACTACCTGAAAGGAGGTTGTAGAGAGGCAGGTGTTGGCCTCTTCTCCCAAAGGATGAACAACAAGACCAGAGGAAATGGTCTGAAGTTGGGGCAGGGGAGGTTTAGATTAGATATTAGAAAGAACTACTTTACTGAGAGAGTGGTGAGGCACTGGAACAGCCTGCCCAGGGAGGTGGTGGAGTCACCATCCCTGGAGGGATTTAAGAAACGTATAGACATGGCTCTTCAGGGCATGCTCTAGTGCCCAAGGTTATTGGTTTATGGCGAGGTGTTGAGTGTGGAGTTTAGTTGGTGGGTGCGGTGTTTTTGGTGGGCGTTTGGTGTGGTGTGTTTTGTATTTGTTTGGTTTGGGTTTTTTTGTTTTTTTGGTTTTTTTTTTTTTGGTGGTTGGACTCGATGATCTCAGAGGTCCCTTCCAACCACTAAGATTCTGTGACTCTGTGAGACCTGAAGCCATCCCTTACCCCGAGGTAGCGGCTGTCGTTGAAGAGCCGTGGTGGCAGGGGGTTCCCACTCGCTGGCCGACTGTCTTCGGGGACGTTCTCGCGCATCCACTTCCGATTCTCCTCATTGGCGGCGATGTCCTTTTCCTCAAATTCAATTTTGTTGGCTTCCAAGAAACCTAACACATCCTGCTGCTGCTTTTTAATCTGTCACAAAAGAGGGAGGAGGGGGGAGACAAAGCAAACAAAATCAGTCAAACCGCTTTTTTTCTGCTGCTGATCAGGCAATTCCAGGGTCCGATGTAGAAACAAGGGGGTGCAGAACAGGTTGAAAATGGAAACGGTCAGAGAATTGTTAGGATAAAAAAGTATCTTCTAAAGCATCATATCTGAGCTTTGACTTGACTCCTATGTAACTAAACAGGCTGAAGTCCCCATCCCTGGCTGTGTTTAAGGGACGTTTAGATGCGGTACTGAGGGATATGGTGTAGGGGAGGACTTTGTAGAGTAGGGGAGATGGTTGGACTCGATGATCGCAAGGGTCTCTTCCAACCTCAATGATTCTATGATTCTATGATTCTATACACATGTGAGTGCTGTGACTCTTAAAGGCCTCCAACCAAAGGCAAAGGTGCGAGCAGCCCTCTCGCAGAGGCTGTGTTGACCAGGCCTTACAATTAATTTGGGGGAATGTTGTTTTTTCAGGTGCAGAGGAGTTTGCTGGAGGGACATCTGAGTTACAACCTGCTTCCTTCACTCTTCTGGAAACGTGGGCTGAGCCCATCCTTCCCAGAGTCCAGGTTTTTGTCCCTGGCTGCAGGGACTTCCCAACAGAGATCTCATAAAGTCATCATTAACAGTATGATCCTGAAACAATTTTGGCTCGTGGACAGAAAAAAACCCCTTCTTCTGCTTCTGCTCCAGGTTTCAGCAGTGGCAGACATGGTCTCTGGAGAGCCATCAGCCTGTGTCCCCCATCCTTGGTGGTCTCGGGGAGCTTACTGCACAGGCTGGATGAGATCCCACACCTGATGCAGCCCCTCCTCTGTGTATTCACACAGCACCCAAGTGAAAAGCAGGGTCTGTGAGGCAAAGACTCTGCTGTTTTACAGGAAAGATGGTTTTTATTACTGTCATATATGAATTACTGACTTCCTGAGACAGAGATCTTCTGCTTATGCTCTGCTCTTCCTCTGCATGACTTTACCACCATAAAGGAAATTATAACCATGCGCATCCTGGCCAACAATAAAAAATGGGATTTAATGGGAAATTCGTTCTCTCCAAATTCCTCCCTTCACTACAAAACCAGTCCAAGGCCTGGCTTTAACCTAATTAGCTCAGTGCAACAAAAGCAGGGCTCCATGCAGATGTTGCACTGCTTCTAATTCAGGTCAGCCCCCAGCTCTCCCCAGCAGCCTCTCCATATACGGCGAAGGGAAAACCGGCAGCTCCCGGCGAGCAGCGCCGGGGTCAGGGCACAGCCAGCCCAGAGCCAAATACGGTGCCAAAGATGGGGCCCGGAGAGGGGGGAGAGGGTTTCGTGTAGGAAAAGCGCTGCCCTGGAAGGGTGTGGTTTGGGAGAGCAGAGCCAGGCATCTCCAAAGAGGAGACTGCGATGCCTCGGCAGCCTTTCAGCATCCACTCACTCCTTCAGAGCCAGCACCGCCGGCTGCACAACCATCCGGGAGAGGGAACCAGTCCAGGTCCAACGAGATCTTTAAAAGAAACTGGATAAAAAGTTGGGGGTGTCCCTGCTGACTGCGGGGAGGTCAGACTAGATGACCTTTGGAGGTCCCTTCCGGCCTGGGCAATTCTATGATTCTATGATAAATAGATCTCCCTCTGCATCGGCGGAGTGCAAAGGGATCAACCCCAATTCCCGACGGAGGGAAAACGTGCTCCCAGCTTCAGCAGCGAGTTGCCTGTGCAGGGATACCAAAAGCCAACACAATTCCTCCTGATGTGTGGGCAGAGGAGCCAGTAACTCAATTAGCAACTACCCTCGTAGCCTTAAACAGAAGACTAGCGCTGGGTGTTCGCTAATTTTCATCATGGCTAAAAATAAATAAAAACGGACAAGTTAATACCACCCCGAGGAAACAATTCATGTTTCAGGCTGCACAGAAAAACATTTCTCAGCAGACTCGAGTTCACTGGCAAAAGATTTCTTCGCTGGCCTTTAATAACAGGGGTCGCAGCAGGAGGGAGCAGGATGGGGAGGTTTTTCTCCCTCGTGTCATACAGCTCAGAGAAAAAAAGAAAAAAGTTACCATTTCCTTCATGTCAATTCTGTAGGACTAAAATAAGGGAAAGGTCTTTGTAATTGTAAACTCCTTTGCCAGTGGTCAGTATCTGAGGCAACATAGTGACTGAGGAATAAATGGAATTGTTTTTTCCCCGCAAACTAGTTACATTTTAATTAACCGTTTCCCACCATTTGTAAATTACAGATCTAGCTCATTTTCATTAGTCTCAGGTCCTTAACTTGTCCAAAATCTGCTGCTTAGTGAGATCACACTTTGAGATGTCCCAGAATTTTTAAGAGCAAAAAGAAAACTATGGTTTTTTCCCAATCTACTATTAAACTATACAGTCAGCCACATAAAACAAGAGCTCTGAGACTGACAGTAATCAGCATTTTGGTCTCCTGAGAACTCCCTCATTTTTTAAATCATTTTAGCCATAGGCACAGCCTCACACTCCTCACAGTATCTCATCTGGGTCTCTCAGTGCAAACCCTTCACGGGCAGACTCCAGTCCCCCCCTGCAGCACCCCGTCTGACAGGGTGGACAATCTCAGCCATGAAGATGCTTCTTCAATTGCCTCTGGCTCCCCTATGCTGCCATTATTTCACATGATAAACTTAAACAGAGTTTCACTCTTAGACATATGTGTGCAAAACATCTTTCTACACTGCCACATCACCTGTTCTGCTCTATTTTCCTTCATTCTCCCAGCTTCATGCAGCAAGGAGAGTCTCTGGGTTATTTTTCAGCTACAGCAGAACCAGATCCCAAGTTCACAAACACGGCCACGAAGGGCTATCACAGCAGACAACCCTCTCTGCTTGTTTATGAAGAGCCAGCAAAGCTGGAAATATATTTTTTCTGCTAGAAAAGGCACCACATTGAAGGCAAGAAGGGCAGTTTTATCTCTGTACCGCTCTCAGTCCATCTGCCGTCAAAGGGGGTAATTCTCTAAGGAACTGTAAAGAAAAGCAAGGAGCTGGTGTTGGTGCACATGTGATATTAGTCTAAAACCCTAGTTTTCTGTATAAATTTATAAAAATGAGAAGATGAAGAGGTGACATCTTCCTCCCAGCTCCTCACACAAGTCTTACAACCACAGTGACCAGAACTCATACAAGAGCATTAAATGTTCCAGAGAAACACGGCACCAACCGCGTGGCAGAACAGACACCGAGCTGCCGGATCCCATCATTTGATGGGATTTTATTTAGAAAACTTCTATTAATCTCAGGCGCCAGAATACCACAGGAAGCGCCTAAAATAGAGCAAGAGACGCCTGCGGCTGCTCCAGGGATATTTTGTCTTTACACAAAAGGGCATACGCTGTCCTCGGGACAAGAGCCTGCAAGACGGGTTCCTGCTGCCCATGTTTGGGAAGGAGAGAGGAGCCTTTCTTCAGGATGCTCCTGTCAACACACAGCTCTCGCTTCCCAAAAAACCTCTCCCAGTTGCCTAACTGGGCATGGACACCGGCCAGAGCCTTTCCAGATACCGTACCTCGTCCTACGCAAACAACTGTCATGTCTGAAGCTATTTTGGCCTGCCGGCTGCAGCCAGCCCCAGTTTGCAAACACAAAAATCCTTGTTTATACTGAGTGCTCCTGACACATTTTGCAGGGCAGAGAGAGCCAGCAGAGAGCCAGGAACATGCGTACAGTCAGCGCCAGAGCCAGGAGCAACGCCACTGGGCAGGGTCCTGAGGCTGGGGGAGCAGAAGGATCCCTGGATAGACACAGAAGCACAAGGATGAGAGAGAAGTCATGGATGGGGATGGGGAGACAACTGCAAGGGAGGAAAGAGCCTTTGGGCAGGAGCAGATGGGATGGAGTCAAAAAGGAGGGATGGAGATGGGGCAAAATCCCAGGGGTGGAGGTGGGATGGAGACAGAGGGATGGAAGGAGGTGGGTTTGGGAAGCAGCAGAAGTCAGGGTGGGTAACGTCCCGCTGGAGCTCACTGCTGCCCTGCCTGGGGAAACAAGAATGCCTTCCTGAAAGCCAGTTTTGCTCACAGATGCCTTCACCCCTCACGCTCCAAAAACACACACCTGATTTCTCAGCCTGAGCACTTTGACTCACACTTCTTGGGACATTCTTGGGGCAAAAACATCTAAAATAACCCAGGCGAGTGGCAACGTTAGACTGTTTGCTGAAGGCCCTAAGATAACATTGAAAGGAAGCATTTAACCAAATGAATCTATTTTCACTTGCTTTTGGCTTTCAATGTCTGTTTCAGAGACAGAAATAGCTTTATGGCAAGTTGCTGGCGGTTAGGTGAAGTCTCACCACCAAGCTGTGATCTTCTGCATACAAAATCCGCACAATTCGAGGCTGATGCTTCTAGCAGACTTTTTTTTTAAAGATATCCTTGTGTATCAAGAGTCTCTTCCTTCCCAGTAACAAGCCCATCATGAACAGTAAGCTTTCAACAGAGCATGTGCACAGAATAATATTATGAAAATGAGTAGCTTAGAATTATGAACAAGTATCACCCCTCACTTGAATACACATCAGAAGTTAAATTCGCTGTTCTAAGATCTAACTTGTGTCAGCAGATGACATCAGGAATGGAAGAGAAACCACGTCAAAGCTGCCAAAAGTCGAGGTGGATGACGTTTCCCAACAAATCACAATCCATCAAAAATGGAGCTTTAACCCCAAAGTGGGCAGAAAACTTTCCAGAAAATGCTGCAACTTTTTAGACTCAGTACTTTTCTATCCTCCAAATTTTTACTTCTTGGAAAGAAATAAAATCAACAAAAAGATAATAAAGAGGAAGGAGGCAGGGGCAATGCTGCAGGACCGTGGTCCAGGAAGCAGGAGATACTCCATCCCCAGCTCCAGCCAGGACTGTAAACTGGTTGTCCAACAGCCAGCCTCTCCCAGCACTACCCTGCTGCAAGGAAACAGTTGGTTTATATGTTTTATTGAAATAAACCTCAAAGAATTTTCTATCT